CTTAAAATAACAAACATATTTCTCATTTAATTATCGCAATTTTGTTCGAAAGAATTGATTGGATCATCGTCCGATTATTTCAGTTTACGTTATAGGAGTTCCAATTATTAATCTTGGATAGTTAAAATCATTTTTAAAATAGCATAGGATAATTCTTTTGCTTTCTGCTCGAATTGGGAAATCGACGACGGATATATGCCAGCAGGGGAAGGTGGCATAATTTAATCGTTAAATTAATCGATGCCTCCTCCTCGGTCGAGTGCACTCTTTGACAAATTGGTGCTTTAGAGTCCGTTGTGTGTCTGGGTAACACACGGCGTACGATATACGAACGCGGGCATAGCAATTTTCCTTGTAGAAACAAGCCTGCGATGTTGTCCAAAGCTCGTTCGTCAAAAATGACATGTCATTGTCGTCATTATCGTCGTTGTTTCGTTAAATGCTGAATCGTACAAGGAAAAATTCAATGTGCACATTTCGAATTCGAGAATATTATTCATTGAATAAAAAAATGGAGTGTCTCTATATGATTATAATAATATATTTTTAAATTGGTTGTATATTGTCAAATTGTCACGTATTAATATTTGGTATTAATATAAAAACGTATCCATCCATTGTATAAATTTAGTGAAAATTTTCATTAAAAAATAATTTGTAATTTTGTTTTTATATTAAAAGATTAATCCAATAATTATTTTTATTGTAATAATATATTTTTTTTTAATTATTTATTGGCTTTACCGACAAATTATCACGCAATAATATTTATTAATTTATATATATTAATGAATGATCACTCGAGACGCGGTACATTAAAAAACGTAGAAGAAAACTATTACGTTACTTAATAATTATTACCTCTAATAACACGTTTTTCTTGATTTATTATTCTTAGGGATAAGAATAAAAAATTCAAATCTTCGTTGTTTTATGTATTTATGTAACTTGGACTGTAGTAAAATTGACTCGTTGAACGATCCTAACCCCAGGCATAAGCTATCCTTTGAACAACCGGAGAGCAATTAAGCAGATTTTTCCTACTTCAATCCCTCTCTAAGGATATCTCTTTCCTTCTTTCTTTTTACTTTTCTTTTCTTTTTTTTTTTTTCCATTCTTTCATTCGCGTTCTATCTTTCTTTTTCTCTCTTATTCTCGTGTTCCTCTTATACCACGGCAATGTGATTTATTCTGCCAATTATCGAATCGTTTCTCTTTCTACGAGATTTCATGGGCACTTTGTCGTACCGTTTTCTATGGTCTTTCTGTGGAAAAAAGGTCACTGAAAGGACACGAGAACCGAGAAAAGAAGTCGAGGAAAACTACGAAAAGAATCGTTTTAACAAAGTGATCTTTTGTTCGAATTTTTTATATTTAAAAAAAAATATATATATATATTTTAAATAATATACAATAAAAGAGACCATTAATTTGTCCGTAAATTTAATTATAATTAATTTTTATTAATATAATAAATTATAATTAAAATTAATTTATACATCATATATATATTGTTTTTATTGACAAAAATCAATTCTATATATATCGATAAATCGTTAAAAACGTTACGTGCAACCTAATATCAAATAACACGTGTCCGAGTGTACATAAAAAAGATCGATCATACTAAAACGTCGATAAGATCAGACTTAGAGGGTGGTAATTTTCAGCCCTGAGATATAAGTCCCTTATTCGATAGTAGAAGATAGGGGGGACAATGAAGAGTCATCAATTATTACCCTCTTAAAGATTCAATGAAGCCATTAAAAAGGATGAATGCCCGTCTCTAGCGTCTTGTATTTATTTAGCCTTTTTTCTTTTTTTTTTCGTTTATTCTTATCCTTTTCTATTTTCTTTTTTCATTCTTTCTTTCTTTCTCTCGTGTTTCTACTTTTATCCGGATCTCTCTTATTCGTTTTTTTCGAGAATGGTGGCCCAATTAAAAAGCACCATCGTTCGAGTATCTCGAACCCGTTAAGAAAGGAGATTTTTCCTTTTCTCAAGGAGAAATCCTTCCTTCTTCCTTTCCGTTTTAACGACAATTGTGGTTTATCTACTACAGACCCACCCTCTCAGCCCCTCCGACCGCATTCTCTCTTCTCTTTTCCACCAAAGACAACGTATAGTAGTACAGTTAAAGTGTACTTTCTCTCTCTCTCTCACTCAGTCCTCTTCAGACGATAAATTTAATAACAGTTTTCCCATCGTCCCACTCATTTCTATCCCTCCTTAAATCTGCATAATGAGGATAGAATTTGCATAGGTTGTTTAATTACATTTTACTAAGGTTGAATGAATATCGGGAAATACCCTAAACGCATCGTTATTTTATTGTCTCGTTAACGAACAACCCACTGTCGGTTGGTTTTATTTTTTCTTTTTCGCAGGTAGGTACCTATTCGATTTTCGTTCTTTTCTTTTTTTTTTTTTTTTTTTTTGTTTCTCTTCATCTTTTATGTTAAAGTGCATAAATAATATAATCGAAAAGTTCGATTTGAACGTGTTTTATTTATTTTTTGTTTTGTGTCACGTTATTTCTATCATTCCACGTTTATTTCTCATAAAAAGGAAGGGGACTTTTCTCTACTTTCTCGCAGTTCCATTTTTCGTCACCTTTAGCAAGCAAGAAACAGAGGTGAAGCGTGTCTCAACATAAATAATTTATCTGGAAAGCGAATGTGGTGCTAGTGATGGTGATGGTGGTGGTAGTTGGTGATGGTGGTGGTAGTGGTAGCGATAGTGGCAAGAGTGTGCGTTCCATTAAATATGAAATCCAATATAAACTTTTCCTACGAACGATGAGAGCGTCAGACAGCCCTTCCTCCTTCCTTTCTTCCTTCCTATACGCGTCTATGTGTATTTGTGTATGTATGTGTGTTATACGTACTACCTACCACACCATAGACGCCGACCCTTAAAAAGCATTCGCGGTCGAGCTCGCGTTTTACACGGAAAAAAATAAACGGAAGCAGAGAAAAAAACACAAACAAAAAGAAATAAAATCGGATAATATCGTTGGGCGTACCGTGTTATCGAGAATAAGATGATAAGAAAAAACTGATAATCGGGAAATTAAAGAGAGGTATAAGCTCCGATCACGTTACGAACTGTCGTCTTCCATTTCTTTTTGTTTTTTTAACAAATTTATTTCTCATCGATTTATATTCCAATTGTCACAATATATTTTCTGAAACTGATCATTTGGTACGCTAGATTATAATTTCTCAAATTATTCTACGTTATTGTTGTTTTTTTTTTTCTTGGGGATACAATTTTAACACAAAATATTTCAATAAATATATACAGAAAAATGTATTTTAATATTTTAACGCGCGCGAGTATCATTTACGAATTGAATAATATGAATTTAAAATGTTTTAATCTTTGATTATAAATACTACTTCATATGTTTGATGTATCGAATTTTAATCGGTAAAAATGATTTTACGGCGATAACAAAAATATTTCTGGATTATTATTTATTAAATACAAAATTGAATCAATTTGAATATCCCTGCGCTAGACGATATCAAACATTATTACCTGCATATTACTTAAATCATTTTAAACGAATTTAAAACAATTATTTTTACCCGTTGAAATTTCATTATCGTTGATTTGAAAAAAAAAAAAAAAAGAAAAATATATAAAAGGAATAACAAACAATTTTTCTTTCGTTTGCACTTATTTCTATCTCTCTCTCTCTCTCTCTCTCCCTCATATCTCGAGCATTTTTCAAGTATACTCGAGCATAATTCGAAAGCTAAACTCACTCTACTATTTCTTTCTCTTTTTCAAGAACTCAGTTTAATTGGCCCAGCTGAAAGAACTCATTTCGTTGAATCATCTTAAAACGCTCGATTAAGTCATTTACCTAGATATTTTTTTTATTTTCTTTTTTTTTTTTTCAAATAGAGTCGAGTATAAATATTAATCAAAGCATTAAGAAAAAGGTATAAAGGTTCTTCGTTTCTAGTGAGAAGGAAAAAATAAAAAAGAAAGAAATTAAAATTAAAAAAAAATAAAATAAATAAGGAAGGTAAGAAGGTTATATAGAAAACATAAAAAATAATTCCTCAAGGTTTTTTTCCATTCGGTCGATCAAATCCCTCGAGTTCTACGACTATGTGTTCTAGTAGCACACGATCGCGAGGGTGGTGGTAGGCGCGTGCTTTTGCGCGTTCGTGATTCCCTTTTCTGTGTGTACACGAGGAGGGTGGAAAGCGAAATAGGGTGAGGAAGGGAACATATCGACGTTTAATCAGACACACCGTTCGCATACTGATGCAACACCGGCGCTCTAGTGCAAACACCCAACGGACACATCCTTCTTTCCTTCTTTCTATCTTTTCTCTACTTTTTTTTCCCTTCTATCTTTTTCTTTTTCTTTTTCTTTTCGTTTTTGTTTTTGAGTTATTTTATTTCCCTTTTATTTTCCACCCTTTTACAAAATGCAACACTATTCGTTCTATCACCTATGTCGTATATCGAAATTAGTTTTACATACGAGAACATTTCTTTTTACGAATCCAATTAAAATCTGCTACTCGCGTGTAATTATAAAAAAAGAAAAAAGAAAGAAAATATTTTTGAAACCCTTATTAACATTCGTAAGAGCATATAATATAATAAGGAAACTTCTGTTATTACAGGTAAATAAATTTGAAGATCTTAAGTGCACCTTTTGGTCGTTGTCGTTCGAAACATTTCTATACGCTAATAATAAAAAAAACCAACCATCGATCAATATTTCTAATTAAAATGAGATTTATAAAGTTTCTTATGTATTAAAAACTATGATGCTATAAATGTGGGGTTTAAAATAAAAAGATTTGTCAAACGATAATTGTAATATATAAATATCATATAATAAATCATAAAATGAATGTGAATTTGTATTTGGCCCCCCCTCTCCCCCCGCCCCTCAATTGGTATATAAATACAAGTATTCGTTAATTAGGAATATAAATAATGTAATTATCATTTGGTATTGTTTACAGAATGCAGAGACAAAATTGGAAAGGCTTGGAGGTGGAGGTTGCGCTGATGCGTCCCATAAGCACGGCCGGCTAATAGCCCGCAGCCCATCCCCGACACCCTGCAGCCACACCAGGTACCACTCTTTTGCTTACAGACCCTTTCATATATATATTTTTTCTTTTTCTTTTTACTTCACTTCTTTTTTTCATTTTTTTATCCTTTTTTAAAATACTCTTTCGTACTCAGCCCGTATAATCGTTCCTGCATTTTCGCTTTACCGTTAGACGACGACATGCTTCGCGGATACGCGAGAATACCTTACACCTGTCCGCTTATGCGAAAATAGGAACACGATTATTATTATTATTATTATTATACTTTTATCGTATAATAATATCGTTACTCGGTTAACTATAATCTCCCATATATTATTTTTTTTTCCATTTATATATTCATTTATGAAGTCTCGTAATAATAATATTATTATCTTCTATGTGTTATATATACAAAAAAAAAAAAAAAAGGTTCGAAGTATCGGTTAAAAATATTTATCTAAAAAAACACCGAGGCTATTTTATATTTTATTTTATTTTTTTTTTTTTTTTAAATAGGAACTCGTATTTTTTAAACTCTCGTCCGAGAAAATATTGGATATAACAGAGACTTTAACGAAAAAATATTAAAAGTTTCGTAGAGAGAATCGATCAATTGAAAAACGGGGGGGGGTTAAAAATCGATGATCATTGGTAAAATTTGTTCTTCGTTTGCTTTTTTTTCTGCGTTCAATTTTTCCGATAAAAAAAAAAGAAAAGAAAAGAAAGAAAAGTTTCAATCTTTTCGAATGTTTTCAAATGCAGATGCATGGCAATGTAATTATTTAAATACTGTTTCACCCTTATAATTCGAAAACGTTCGTTCTTATTATGTATATTGAGATAGAGTCAGTAATATGTGAACACACACACACACACACACGCATATACATAAAAACATATATCGAAGAGAAAGAATATAAATAGTAGAATCACACGTGAGTTTCTATACGTGTACACGTTTCTCAACGCGAGTAGTAACGAGCGTTTCCGTCTTCTCACTTTGCAAATAATTCCGGTCGTTGCTTTTAATGGTGCACGGACCCGGTCCGCATATGCATGCATGCATGTAAATATGTATGTGTGCATATACATAGATACATACATACGTACGGATATACAGGTGCTCGCAGAAGTATTATAATATTCTAGTTAAAAAAAGAAAAGAAAAAAAAAAAAAAAGAAAATGATTCAAGAAATATTTCAAAACGCGAGTACATTGGTTCCCTGGTAGAAGTTGGACTGAGGTGAATTAAAAGAAAGCAAGGGAAAAAAAAAAATAAAACTGTTTATGACTCTTCCTCTTTCACGATCTTATAATGTTCGCCTAATTAATTTACTTAAGCCCATTCTACGAGCAGCTAGGTTGTGATCGTAGATAATAATTTATATCCGAGATATAATTAACGAGAACTTTGTCATATTTCTTTTTATCTTATTTGATTTACTACTCAAAGTCTCTCATTTTTACTCGGTAACGAAACAAAGAAAGGAAGAGTTACTTTATATTATCTTAAGTAAGATTAAATCGTGAACGTATAATTCGTATTGTTTATTACTTTTGCGACCGGCGGGGTTACATGGCGGCAATGAATTTCTTTTTTTCTTTCTTTTTCGCAAATAACATTTTTAACACCAAATTAATGATTTTATTAGGACAATGCGATAATATTTTTTTTTATATTCTCTCACACAGATTCATTAAAAATTATTCGAATTTATGCGGTTATAAACTTTCGTAAATTATCCTACGATACTCGATTGACATTTTCATTTTATTTTAATTTAATCGTGTGTGGTGAAATAAAAAATGATCTTTCGTTCTTTTTTTTCTTTTTCTTTTTCTTACTTTCGTTTCAGTCGTTAGAATTTAAACGATCGTATTTATACTTTTGCAAGGAACTGTATCTAATGCAACCGTTCTCGGTTGCAGCTGCGTTAATAAGAAGAGTCCGCGACTCGGTTGGACGTTTCTGATTAAAGTGAATTGATTGCATCGACGACACCCTGGATTTATGGGCTCTACTCGAGTATCAAGGTTTCGCGAGCATACTAAGCGAAGGAAATTATGCTATATTCTCTTCCCCACTCCCTGCCCCTCTGCCCCTTTGCCTGCTCCTTTTACCTTTACCATGTTGTTTACGTTAAAATCAATGTCTCTTGTTTCCGATCATCAATCACATATCTATTTAACAGTATCGTTATCTATGTGTACGTACGTTAATTAGTAGGTATAAGATGCTCATATGTAAATGCATACAATGTAGAGTCATAGGAGTATTATTCGTATTATTCCCCTTCTACTCACTGTCTATTTAAAATAATTAATATTTGATTGTAATGCGAAGCTTCGAAATTTCGTTTACACGCAGAAACTTTATTTGATAATTTTAGAAAAAAAAAACAAAATAATACTGTCAAATTGATATATATAAATTTGATTACGACAAAAGACTTTATTGTTACAGAAATATAATTTTATTGAAAGAATAAAAAGATTGATCTCGCAATGTGTATTTACACTTACGTAAGATTTAATGACAATGCAATTACTATTTTTTGTAAACAATACTTGATTAATCTTCCTTTGCATCTTTTAATATTTTTGTTAAAATGATTGAGTATATCCAGTGAGGCCTTTTTTATAATAAAATTAAAAATCAATTTATAAATTTAATAATCATAAAATAATTATGTTTCTGTGTGTACAAAAAATTTGGTAATATTGTAATAGAAGAAAATATTGATTGGTTTAAATTAACAGTAGTAAGAGTACGAATACTTCTAGGAAACTACATTATACAAATCGTTTGATAAACTTTCTAATTAGTGTTTTACATATTTTCATTTATCAGACTGAGAGTTGAGAAATACAGAAAATAGAAAGGGTAAGAAGAAGAAGAAAAAAAAGAAAAAAAAGAAAAAGAAAAAGAATGGGACGTTCGGTAGAAAGTAATACGAGACTTAGCTTAGTGAATTTCGTGTACGAGTTACTCTCTTAACAGTAATAGTCTGAGCGTCGATTTACAGTAATACCGCACGCACCTAATTAGCAATTCCAATAAGATAGTCTGCCTTTACCTTCGCCAACCGGTTTTATTTAACGTGGTAAGAATCATGTCTCACGATTTCGTCTTTTATGTGCGCGTGCGTATGAACACGCGAACTTGAACAAGGATTATTGATAGTATTTTGTACTTATATATATACTTGGATGAGTATACATGAACAGGTACGTGTTTATACGTATGTGTATATATAAATACTTGGATGCATATACGTGCATAGGCATGTGTTTGTATGTATATATATACTTCTCAGTATGGTATATAAGGACACATATATATGTAATACATAATAGAGATCGTGTAGTTGTAGACGGGGACCGATCTGTAGCAGAGCCACCAACTATGGATTTAATAGGAATGCATTAAATTGACAGTGGGCTTTGGATCTCGATTATGTCATTAGGTCGCGAGCGATCTGTCTAATGGTAATCGTGAGAACACAAATATCGGAATAATCGTAGGATTACTATTACAGTCGGATTATACAACGGACCCGTGCCGCATTTATCGCTCGATAAAGCGACCTATCGATAATTTATCAACCTGCACGATTGTTCTGCGTTTGTGGCTTTGATTCGATAACTGAACTATACGTATTATTATTATTATTATTATTATCATCATTATGACATGACAATTTCTATCGAAGAAGTGAGAGAATTCTTCGATAAACTTCTTGTATTAAAACGTTGCGGTGAAAGGAGGATTCTTGAACATTTTCTTTTTGTTTTCTGATCAAACGTTTATATTATTTATATATTTCGATGTCAATATTTATTTTCTTATCGTTCGATAAAATGTCATTTGCAATAATGCATTTAAATATCACGATATAATTATTTTACGAATTATTAATTATTAAAATTCGTAAACACAACTTTGAAAAGAGAACACGGATAAACGCGGGCTAAATTAGCAAAGGGATGAAAGAATAAAGAAGATACAAATAAAATGAAATTGTTAACGGGAAGGGATGGGAAGGGATGGGAAGGGAAGATAAGGGAAGAGAGAAGAAAGGAGAGGTGGTTTGAAGAAAAGTGCAAGTTTGTTATCCCACGCACGCACAGCTTTCTTTCCAAAGCGTGTTATGTGTGCTTTTTGAGGACGGAATGGCATAGACCTGTCCCTTTTTCTATCTCTCTCTCTTTTTTTCTCACACCTTCTCACTTTTTTGTTCTCATCTTTTCCCAGTTTGCACCCTCCGGTCTTGAAAACGTTGTGCCAAGGGTGTCGGCCGAGAGCACGGCCTTCCTTCCCGTTGAAACACCCCGTGAAAAGCGTCGCGGTGTAAACGCGTTATTCCTGTTAGCATCTCGACTACCACCACCACCACCACCACCACCAACACCCTCTTCGTTCTTTCTTTCTTTTTCACTCTAAAACACGTGAAAATGTGTTTCCTTTTTTTCTTTTTTTTTCCCCCCTTTTTTGTCTCTTCAAGATAGATTTTTTCTGACACATGTCACGTCCTATTTCTAAAAAGAAAAGGATATTTGATTTTATCCATTCCCATTGTGTCTTTCGATGTATGTATCGGATTGTCTCCGTTCGTGTAAATACAACACTTTATATAATGTAACATGTTTATTTAGGAAATTTACTCTTTCTTTTCCTTCTTTTTGCTTTAGTTTTTCTCTTAAAAAAGAAATGCAGAAAATGTGGTAAGGGCCGAAAAAAACAGGAGAAAGAGAGAGAGAGAGAGAGAGAGAGAGAGAGAGAGAGATTTTATTTTGCTACCACACGATTAGCAACAGTCACAAGGAATTACATATGTAGTATTCTACTGTAGAGTGAAAGTTTAGTAGGATTTTCTTTCCGTATAAGTAAAATCGTATGATTCTTTCTCTCTCTCTCTCTCTCTCTCTTTCTCACACTTTGAATTTCGAGATGCAAGGACGATGTTACGTTTCCAGTCAACAGATTAAGTAAATCGCCTTGCGCGACGATTAACGATGCTCTTTACACGATCTTTC